TCCTGCCGCGCTCGTACTTCTCGCTCTCTTCGTCACGGGCCGATCTGAGAACGCGGGCCCTACATATACGCGCCCGGGCCCACTGAATTTAACGTGGCAGGTGCCTGCTGAATGGACACAGCTAGAGCCTCGCAACGGTCCCCTCTCCGTTTCTCTCTCCTCGCTTCGTTCCGATATCGTGTCGTCTTTCTGCCTGCCTGACTTTCTCTGTCTTTCTCGTCTACGGCTGGCTTCTCTCCTTCTCTTTCTTCTTCGCCCTTCCCCCTCCCCCTCCCCACGCCCCTCCCCTCCCTCTCTCTCTCTCTCTCTGCCCCTCTCTGATGATGGCCGCGATCACTCTTGCTTGCATTATGGCACACAAGAAACGCTCGACGGACGCTCTCAATCATTTACAGAGAGTCACTCCGCGTTGACGAGATCCTCGGCTCCTCTTCTTCTGTCTTTCTTCCTTCCTTCCATTTTTTTTTTCCCTCGACGCTAACCGACGACGGTGTCCGTGACGGTTTTGCTCTATCCGCCGATGTTTCGCGGAATCGCGTGTAGCGAAGAGCGATCCAGGTTCGCTGTTACCTGTTGGCGGGTCGTGTTGCTCTCGAGAAAACAGGTGGAGAGGCAGGTAGGCAGGCCAGGGCCTGATAGACTACACGGTAGATCGCGAATGAACGGCATGTCATTCCTCGGCACGAGAGGCGAGGCGGAAACCACTGAGGAATTTGGTGCACCACAAGGTAGCTCGAAACGAGCGATGTACATAAGAACCGTCGGGCATCTACCTGCTTCATTAGATGGGAATTAGCGTATCTTTTACGTATATAACCATCGCGTGTATACCGTCCTTATCTTTGCTTATCCAACCAAATTTCGGAAGGCTGAACTCACGAAATCGAGCGAGCGGTTTCAAAATCATCAAATGTCTTTTTAATCGCCATCAATCATTATGATTTCTCCAAAAATTAAACGATATCTCGCATAACGCAGTTATCGATGCGGTATCGATAATTTTGAAATAATTACACCAGTTTAGAATGAAAAGATTTTTAACGAATTTCCTATTGCTAATTAATATGGAAAACAAATAAGAAAAATTTTCCTTTCTTCCTCTCCTGGCACGTATATAAAAAAGATAAGATAAAATTATAAAAAAAGTTAATACGCCTACAAGATATCTCATTATTCGTCAATCCTCAACTTCAGTTTAATCGATTCGTTTAATATTACTAATTACAATATGGACAGTGATGGACAATTTAATTAACCGCTATTAGCGCCAGCTGGCATTAGTAGAGCCGGCTGTATCTCCACCTCGTCGAAGATCGTGAATCCCGCTCTCGAACAATGCGGCTGCTTCGAGAGATGAGAAAGTACGAGTGAGGAGGAGAGCGCCGGCCAGGACCGGGCAAAGGTAAGGGAGAAACGCAAAGAATTGTGGGAAAGGGGAGAAAATTGCAAAACGACATACCGTGCGACCGCACACGCCGAGAGGATAATTCCATGGTGCGGCTTAAAGCCGCGCGCAATTTGGCCTCACGCCAACGTTTAAAATGTGTTACGACGAACAAACAGACCCCGGCCGGCGTCGCGTGTAAAAACAGAAGAAAAAAAATGAAACGGACGAAATGAACGAGACAAAGTCTGCGCGGTAAATTCTTATAAACGAAAGCGCTGACGATAGACGTAGAGAACGAATCGTGATTGGGAAAAACGTTTAAGGGATATTTATTGTCCATCTAAATCTTTGGGAGATGCGTAAAACTCTTGCTCGTGACTTTAGCTTCTCCGCCGTTAACTGATCAAAGCTCTATCTACTTGAAATTATCTGCACTTATGGGAAATGTTGTTCGTAATTGTCGGCTTTACGCACGATTCTTGCTTCTTTCGCGCGTGCACGCGATCCCGCTCGCGAAGTGTGTTAATATGTGATTTACACGAGAAGATAGAATTATCGCTGCCGCCGTCGATATACCGCCAGCCAGGCAAGAGACGAGGAGTCGTTGCGGTTAACGCGTGAATACGATGCCACACGCTGCCACTTTGCGGGGAAATTCTCAGAGGTTTAACGTTTCTCCGCGGGATAAAAGAGACGGAGACGAGAACGCGCCTGTATTAAAGTCGAAATGCGCGTGTCTCATATTCCCGAGAGCTAAAAAAGCTGAGTGTCCACAAATCGGATCGGAGAGAGAACAGGACACCTCTTGGTGCATCCTCTTCTTCTTCTTCTTCTTCTTCTTCTTCTTCCTTCTCCTCCTCCTCCTCCTCCTCGTAGGATATCCTCGCGAATCGATCGATAAGCTTAGGACAAAATATCGTGTTACGGTGTACCATACCGTTTTACGGGGGGAGGACCATCTTGACGCACGCGAGAAATCCAATTTGCGAGCACCGTCCACATACGCATGAAAATTTCGAGAGAAATCCAATTTTGAAACAAAAAGAATTTCCAATTTTGTAACAGACGAGCTTTTTTCTAACAAGCTATAAAAAAAACGAGCTACCTCCGGAATGAAGCTACTTTTGGAAGCATTTCCTCTTGATAAAATCTAATATAATTTCGTATAAGAATAAGAAGGCTGAAACGGGACCTTGCTTCCTGCCGTTGGTGCAACACACCTGCCGCGGATCCGCAGATTGTGTCTTATCGCGATTAAACATCGCGCGCGTTCTTTCCAGCGAGCGCGGAGTAACAGCCGAGAAGCCCGCTTTCGCTATTTTCCAACTTTGCCAACTTGCCGTGAGCGGACCGTTCTTCGTAAGCGACAAATCCGTAAATCACCCGACGTCCCGACGTGTGACTTCGGACCTCTTAATAATTCGACCTTGAATTCCAGAGCCAGAGGCGCGCCGCGAACCTTTACATTATTATATCTACATTATTATATCGTTATATCTTCGTCATCGGGTCTCGATTCACGACTGACAATGCGCTCGACGATGCGATTTAGGACCGACGCGAATAAGAATTCGAGGAATCACGTTCGGGCCGATGACAAAATCATTTTCACGTCCAAAGATGATTTTACAAGATCGTAGCGCGCGTCTAAACGTTTCGAGATAGACGAACGATCTGCTTATCTAACGGCGATAATAAACGATGGAAAAAGAAAGACAGAGAGAGAGAGAGAGAGAGACCACGTGGCGAAGACACGCGCGTGTTCGTTCGATCGGAGAAAAATAGGTCGTGTAAGCAACGTTTGGCGTGGATATTAAACGGCATGAAACCTCTTATGGCGATGACGTAAGGCACGGACTAATCTCGTTCGTGACCTCATTATTATACCCCTTTTTCCTTCTTCCTTTTTTTTGTAAATTACGAATCGTGACAAAAAGCGCGCTATCTTGTGACTTTGTCGACTTGAATCGTTTGCAAATCGTGACTTTTTCTCGCTGTCGCATTAGTCGAGAGATAACAGTCGACTAGTTCCACGATCAAACGATGAATCAAACGATGAATCGATTTCTTTACGTCAAATGATACTGGATATAATCACAAACATGTCACGACAATCTCTGAATAATGTCTAATTTCTTGTAATTTATATAAAAGATATCTGTAACTTTTATTTATAACTACTGTGACCGGTTTTTGGTGATTGAATATATCGTTGATGTAAAATAAGCTAAAATTATACAAATAATACAATAATAATACAATAAATTATATCTATAATGTAAATATCGATTATCTGTGAATTTTCGAAGTATTCTTAGCGATCTAAAAATGTCATCCTCCAGAAATAGGATGTCTGCAATTACATTTCAAACTGGGCCATTAGTTTAAGAGCACAAGTCAAACGTTGAAAAAATACAGATGTGCGTTTCGATGCAATTGTGTTTCTAATTGATAAAGATAGAATGCGGCTCTTGTATTTTGTATCTTAAGCGATTAAAGTCGGCATTGAGAAAACGTGACGCATCTCTTTCTTATATGTATTTTATGATTACTTAACAACGCATTATTTCTCAACTGACAACACGTGCGAAGAGACTCATTTTGAGAGTTAAGCGCGCCGGAACTCGTCGGAAATCGAGATGCATTATCATTTCTCGAATTTGGACGTCTCGGACGGAGGACGAGCGAGCCGTGACCGAACGATACGATATTTCGGCGTGAATGTCGTCGTGTGTCTTTCCACTCGATCGAACGCGCGAACTAACGGAACTTCCGTTAATAAATTTCCCAATAAGAATCGATCGACGCAAAAACCGGCTCTACCGTCCGCATAAAAGCCGCGCCGATACGCCAAGACGCTGTCAGTAGCGTTCGCGCGCTAACGGAATATTTTCGTCATCTCTCACGTTCGCTGGACGCGGGAGACGTTTATGACGTTTCGATCTAACGAATACGTAACAAATCGCGAGGGGGGGGGGAGAAAGGGGAAGGGCACCGGCGGACCTAGACAGAGTTCGTTCTCGTGCATCACGATACGGAATGGTACAGAAGAGAGTTTGGGCTCACCGAAATTATACCGGTTTCGGTACGCCGAGAGAGGAACTCTGGACCCGCTGCAGGACGAAGAACGAGCGAACGAGCGCGAGCGAACGTTCGCGCGCACGAGAGAGAGAGAGAGAGAGAGAGAGAAGAGAGATTCCGCGCGTCGTGGAGGTT